TAAATCAACTGACACCGGCCTCAACTGCCGTGACGTGCGCGGCAACTGTCGCAAAAACTAGGCGGGGTGGAGAAGGCTCACGGTTTCTCAGCACGCCCAGCCGAGGCAGGCGTGGTCTTAGTTACCATGGCGACCGAAGCCCACTCTAAGAGTGTTTTCTCTTTGTTGTTTACTTCATGACGGGTCTACAGTCCCTTCTTCCTTTCAAATCCCTTGTAGGGTGACGGAATAGCATACGAGGATGGGAAGATCAGTCTAGGAAATCAGGTCTTCCCTGGACCAGGATGGTGGAAGTTTACGTTTCGCCCTCAAATCTGGATTCAAGTGGCTGGACATTGTTACTGTTTCTTTCTGGTTAGAAGGACAAGCGTCTAAGGAAGCACCTTCATAAGTACACGCACACACTCAAAACAAAATGAATATTTTTGTATATTTTTATCAAAACTGGCCAATTGCAACAAAGGCACTAATTTCTCCTTGGCTTTAACCAACATTTGGGAAGAAGATGGACAAACCTAAGTTATTTATTGAGCTTGTTTTAATTTCTAAGATATCAAAGAGGTTATCCTGATAACTGAGAAGAACGGAAGCAACACTGAGGTGGAGGAAGTGTGACCAGTGTTCTTCCCTTCCCACACTGAGGATTTTTTTCCATTCTCTCTTCTCCATAGGAGTATTGCACAAGGGCAGACTTCCTCTAGTTGTGGAGCTTAGTTCTGTTCTGTCTGGTCCTGTGTTGTGGGTAACAAACTGCTCCAGCCACTTTGGAAATCAGTGTTGCTAATTCTCAAAAAGCAAAATGTAAATCTACCATAAGACCCAACTATGCCACTATTTGCAATATGCCCAAAGCCTTGACAACCTACTCCAGAGTTACTTGTTCAGCCATGTCCTTTACTTCTCTGTCCACAATAGCAAGGAAATGGAACCTAAATGGTCTGATCAGCTGATGAACTTAAACTGATGAATGAATAATGAAAATATGCTACATATATATGGTAGGATAGTTTTGAGCTATTCAAAAAAAAAAGAAAAATTTCAGGCAAATGGATGGAACTAGAATGGCTGTTTGTGGGATCTACTCTCATTCTTCTTAGTGTGAATAGTCTCCTTTCCTAGCAGCATTTGTTGAAGATGTTGTTTTCTCTTCAGTATATGCTTTTTTGCCTCCAATAGCTATAATTATGAGTGCCCATGCTTGAGCTTTCTATTTTGTTTCATTGGTCTACATGTCTATTTTTGTGCCAAAAACAAAAAAAATTGTTTTATGACTGCAGCTCCACAATGTGTTTTGACATCTGTAAGTCCTCTAGTATTTTTCTCTTTGCTCAATTTTCATTGGCTGTCTTGGGTATCTTCTGATTTTATATGAATTTCACAATTGTTTTTCAAATGTCTATGAAGCATTTTGTGAATATTTTGATTGTGATTGCATTGAGCCTGTAAACTGTAGGTTGGTCATTTCCACATTATTAATTCCAGTGCTCCAGGAACACAGGATGCATTTTTGCATTTCTCTCTCTCTCTCTCTCTCTCTCTCTCTCTCTCTCTCTCTCTCTCTCTCTGTGTGTGTGTGTTATAGATTTTTCATTGTAGAGGTCTTCCACCTCCTTGGTTGTGTTTATTTAAAGATCTTTTGATGCCTAAAATGTTATTATCAGTGGGAGTGTGCCTATGTTTGTTGTTGGTATCATTACAAATTTTTGACAATCTGGTTTGTGAAGTTTCTCAGAAAGGGGAGTAGTTATTTGATCTATGGTCTAGTTGCTTATGTCAAAAACACCTGGGTGTTAGCCAGTGACAGACTCAGAACAAAGGGAGGGAGGGGTTTTCCTTTCTCATAAGTCTCACATTTCCTAATTAGCCATCCTGTCTCAATTTAATAAGACTGGTATCTTTGTAAGAAAAGGAAAAGATCATCATGTACCATGCTTATGTGAGTCCATAATGCAAAGGATGTCACATAAAAATAGTAAGGACCGCAGGAAACCAACTCTTGCAGTCAACACCTTCTGTCCCGTTTATTTCCACCAGTTCTCACTCTCCTTGACTTTTCAGTATCTAGACCCATGAGGATTTTATGTTGTATAGGCTACTTGTTCTGTGGTATTTTGCTAATACAGCTCCAGCTGACTGTTTACAAACAGTATTTACTGGGTATTGTATATTTGGTTTGGACATCACTCTTTCAGCTTTCACAGTTCTATAAAGTAGATATTAATACACTTCTCAGCCAATAAAAACAATGTTCAGAGAGGCTAATGGCTTGCCCATCCCAGTAAGACAAGTTGCAGAGATCATGGAAATTTTTCCAGTTTCTATTAAAGTCATTACACTAACTGATATAACATGAAAATGAAGTAAGCTAATATATGTGTGCATGTGTATATATAATACAAATATAATATATAGTCTATACAATGTCGGATTCATATATTAGACAAACATTATCTATTATTGTCCATCATTTTCAACTCACTTGTACATGCTGTTTCCTCTATCTGGAATATTCCTATTATCTTTCATTCTCTACTTCTCTTTCAAAATTAAAGTTTTTAATTCAAAGCCAGTCGTTGGATGTATTTTCATGCATTTTTATATCGTATGCCATTCTTTTGAGAATTTCACATATGCAAATGTGCATTGATCAAATCAATCCCAACTCCCTCGGCTCCAATGTCTCTGGTATCCCCCTCCTACTTTCCCTCTCTAGTCTCTCTTTTTAAACCCACTGACTCTTCAAGTCTAAATTCAGAAGTTGAATCTACTACTCTTTATCTTGTGTCACAGCTCATTTACTTATTTCTAACTTTCCTATTTAAATTTAATTGTTAGTATTGTGTGTCACTAGACTCCAGCTTCCTGAAGAAATGGGGATGTCTTTTGTCATAATTTTGGTATACAAAATACATTTCTGAATGAGTACCCATATGTAAAGAAATGTTTCTAACATCTATTTTGTGCGTGATGACTTGCCCACAATACAAGACAGGATCATTGTTTTTGCAAAGTTTTTGCAAAGGATGCCTTATGAATTTGGGCAGGAGCCATGGGTCCGTAGAGAA